ATTTGTGTGCAATGCTAAGAATACTACACAAGGTGAAAGACAGAATATTCCATTCAAGAAGCCAAAGCCAAGTTGAATAAAACATTCTGTCTTTCCCGTACTCATGAGAATATTCTTAGCATTGCAAAAACTAAAACATTATTGGTTTTACAATAAATTATTTTTACATGTATGAATGTCTGATTGTTTTGGTATTTACCTAATAACTTATTTAACTAATCGCAAATTTGGTATTTACCTAATAACGTATTTAACTAATCACAACAGTAAATGTTCAGGAAATTGTACATTTACTGTTCCCTCTTTTATCGCCCCAATAAGGCATTTGATTTGCATTGCTTTTTTTTTTCTAAGAAGGCTGGCTTTCCCATAGCTTTCAAAATTCTTGCCAGTTCTTTTCCTTGAAGATGGCTTAAATCCACTTCTTGTTCTTCTTCGGGTAATGTTTTCAAATGGCATAAAAATGCTTCTATGGTGGGAACAGTGAAATCACTTCTCAACACTGTAATTTGGTTTTTTCGGAACAGGGGATGTGGAAGGTTTAGTAACAGTCTTATCAGATTTTGAAGATCTTTAGATGTGTTGTCTTAAAGAAACACCTTCCTTCCTTCGACCTTCCTTCCTTCCGACCTTCCTTCTCACGAAGGATTTGTTGTTTTGATTTTACAAAGAATGTAACAATCCTTTGCAAAACAACAACAGATGTTGTTACATCTGTGTCCGGCATCAGTAACTCATTCCATTAATCGCGTAGCTCTTTATTGATGGACATTTGTTCCAGACAATATTTTAAAATGTTGCCCTTTTTTCTCTTGATGTTGGTTGGGCTGAAAATGCTTTCGACGAAAGTATGGAGAAAAATAAAAAACTGATCGAAGTACGTGTACGTGAACACAAAACCTGTATAACCCGTCTGGCTGTCTTACATCTGCTCCCAAGAGAGAAATTATTGCTAGTGCATTTCTTTTGCTGGCATAAAGAATTTGAGAACCTTCGTCTACTGTTGCAGCTAATTTGTCTGTTCCTTTATCTATAACGTCTCTCGCTCTTTTTATGGCCCATCCAGTATGATCCAATATGCTTTCATAATTTTCATTTTCGTAGTTTTCGTCGTTTATATGCGAAGTAGCACTAGAAAAGCCAGTTTGGCGGGCAGTGTAATCGACAGTAGATTCTACGATTGGTATAAACGAATCTGGCTTGTCAGTATAATCGCATGGCATCGGAATTTTATCTTTCATTTCAATTTCCTCATGTAATTTCGCTTTATAATTATCCGCCATTTTTAACATATTAAGCAGGCTGCAGGCTGCAATTTACCAGTCCCCTGCATCACACATCGGTCGGCGCGCAATAAGGCGTTTCACCGCCCACTATATAAGCGCCCGGATTATAATGTACTAAGACGAGATCGCACTAAGAGCCCGCACGGAGGTGTTTGTCACTATATGGTCAAAAATATCAAATTCCACCGTTTAACAAACCTAGAAGATGATAACTTTGAAGTTCTGTGGGTTCATACAAGGCCTGGTTGGTACATTTACCAGCTGATTAAACTTAAATTGGCGACAAAAATACTTTATAATACAGATTGTTAAAGTAACCTTCCTTCCACTTCGCTAATTGATCTTGTTAGATACTGTAACATGTCTTTATCATTCGAACTTGGGGGATGGTAAATAGTTGCTATAACTAAACAATGAAAACCGCAGGGGAGGCGCCTACTGCCATCCTCGATCTTGTAATAACTAATCTGCACAAATTTTACTGCGCAAGCTCTATTGACAGTTATCCACGTTTTGGATTGTCTGACCATAATACTATTGTTATTCATCCACATGAAAGATCACACACCCAAAAGGACCGTTTTATTTATAAAAGAGATATGATGGAATTTGGTAGATATTTGAGCAAAATTGACTGGAGTATTCACTGAAGTAATATCTACTGGACTAAACCTTATCATGCCAGAAAAAGTGATCAAACTTCATCATAATGACCCTCCATGCATCAACAAGGATTTTAAGTGCTTGGTCCAAAAACGTCAAAAAGCTCTCGCAACTGGCAATACTACAGCCTTTAAATTTTATCGTAATAAGGTAAACAGAATGAAGAAGAGATGTCGTAGCAACTATTACACTTGTAAAGTCAGCCATCTTAAGCAAACTAACCCGAAAGAATGGTGGAAAAAAGTTAAAGGCATTTGTGGAATGATGTCATCTTCAAGTATCGACAGTTTGGTGTCGCAGTTGCAAATTGATAATCTTGACCAGATGGCTCCAACTGATATTGCAAATATGATTATTAATAGCTTTCTGGGTCCAATGAAAGTATATATTCCTCTCAATGACCTTGATTTACAAACATTAATAGATGCCGCGGATAATATCTCACATGCTGACATGAGGAAGACCACGCGGAATCAGTATACAGTAAATTATAATCATTGAACTGGATAAATGAAATACCCCTGGGCCAGATGGTATAGCGAACTGGATTCTAAAAGAGTATGCAGATATTTTGTCTTCGCCCATTTACAATTTATTAAATACCTCATATAACGAGCAAAAACTGCCAGTAGCCTGGAAGCGAGTAAATATCACACCCATTCTTATAGAGAAGCCAGTTACTAACGTAACCAAACATCTTAGGCCAATATCATTAACTTCTACCCTATCCAAACTTGCCTAAGAATTCGTTGTCGAAAATTATATTGCGCCAGCTATCTTGAGCATTGTTGATCCACAGCAATTCGGAGGGATCCCTCGGTCCTCAGCCACTCTAGCACTTATCAACATGGTTCATGAATGGAATAAGGCTACGGACGGTACAGGGGATGCAGTTCGAGTAGTTTTGCTTGATTACCGAAAAGCATTTGATCTTATTGATCACCGAATTCTTGCACAAAAAGTGTTTCAACTTTATATTCCACTTTCAGTAAAGAAATGGATTATTGACTTTCTGATGAATAGAGAACAAAGGGTAAAATTGTCACGTGACTGTTTCACGGAGTGGAGCAAGGTCCCTCGGACTCTCGGACCTTGGTTGTTGATCTTAATGATTAATCACCTTAAACCATGCTCTACCGACTACTGGAAATATATTGACGACACAACGATCTCTGAAGTAGTTAAGAGACACACCCACTCCACTATTTAAGGAAAAGTGGACTATATACACAACAATGGTCAATGGAGAACCGTTTGCATCTCAATTCTACCAAATGTAAAGAATTGAGAATTCGTTTTGGAAAGGAAGAACTAGACTTCCTAAACATCCGTATTAACAGTTGCAACTTAGAAATAACTTCTCGCGCTAAAATTCTGGGCCTAACAATTAGCAACAATTTAAAGTGGAACCTGCATGTCTGTAATATTGTCAAAAAAGCCAACAAGAAGATTTTTTTTATCATCCAGCTTAAACGAGCAAAAATCCAAATACCAGAGATACTGCTCTGACTTCTACTGCACTTGTGTAAGACCAATCCTTGAATATAGTTCTGAGGTCTTTCACTATGCATTGCCCAAACATCCTCAAAATTTTATTGAACGTGTACAACAATGAGTACTTTCTATCATCTATCCAGGTTGTGGCTATACAGATTGTTTAAAGTATAGCAACCTACAAACTCTTCATGCTAGACGAGAGGAAGCCTGTCTGAAGCTGTTTAAAAGCATCGAAAACAAAACGGATCATAAACTTCATAACCTACTTCCAATGCGAATGGTCCAGTCTCACTCTTTGAGAAGTCATCGTGAGTTTATAATTCCCAATGTGAATGCAAACAGATTTTTAAACACAGACGTCTTATCATCCGTGATGCATGGCAATAAACAGATTACAAGAGTAGATTTAATATAGCGTCCTTTTAGAGCGATTCTTTTTCAGCTTTTAATCTGGTTTAAAGAGTCGATTGTATATTATATAGGCATATGTATTTTTGAGATTTTTACATTTTATAGTATAGATGTTTAATAGATATAGTATAGATATTTAATAGAACGAAATCTGTAACATTTAATATAATCTTTATACAGGGTGTATAAAAAAAAAGTAGACAATTGTTAAAATGTCCATAAACTGAAAATTTTGCAAAATGTCTGAAGAACGTGTGTTGATATTGGTATTTTAGGGTCTCGTGACCACTTTAACACTCAAATTAAATAAAAAAAATTTATATCGACGTGTAGGAATGGTTATTTCAAACACCACCTAAAACAACCCTCGCGCACAATTATTTTTTTTGGCCTTTCCCACATACTTTTTGCAGCTCACAAATGATTTCACGCATGATTAATGTAAAATATCAATAATGCATGAATTATTACCGCGTGAAACGAAAAGTATGTGGGAAAGGCCAAAAATAGCAAAAAAGTCCAAGTTCGAGAGGCCGCCCGGCGGATTTAATGTACACCAAGTTGTCTGGAACTTTGATAGTTTATAAAACATCACCCAGACTTTCAACCTATGGTAATGAATTAAGATTTAACTAATATAACTACTTAACTACTTTAATTGAGACTTTTTTTTTATACACCCTGTATAGAACTAATTTCTGTAAATTACGTAATTCAGTCCTTTTACGGCTGCAATGTAATTTATTATTAATAAATAAACAAACTAAACAAAAAAACAAACACATTTATATCTTGCCCATACGGTTGAGAAGAAGAAAGTAAATAAAGTTTGACTGAATACGTTGCGAAAACATCAACAAGCCCAGTGGCGAAGTTTAGTGAGTATGGTTGGGATTAGTTGACTTTAGAAGAGAAAATAATTTTTGTGGCACAGCTCTTATTGAATTAATCCGCGGTGCCTAAACAATTCCGTATATTTTTCTGTAATGTTCAACAGAGCAAACAACAACATCACAAGCCATATGTCGATTGTATAATCACAACTGCACTGCCAGATGCTTTGCCTCAGACAACATTTTTTCTAATGTCTGTCTGTTTGGTAGTTTCCTTACCAAATAGTGAATTCAGGAAGTCAAGCTTTCACTAACATTTACCAGAATGTACGAACTTACCTTGACGTTGTCGATATTTGTCTACGACGAGAAGTTTTCTCACGTCGAAGCCTTTTGGTAACGGAATATAACGAGATATATTTCTGCTAGTGGCATTCATTTTTATGATCATGGGTGAAATTCTCAGTCTTTCTTTCCAGTAAAGAAAATTTCCAACAACGTCCACTGACATCCAATCGTTAAAAACAGGTGAACTATAATTAGTTGTCGGATTGCTGTTAAGGCCATCGTAATCCATTCCAATTATGACATTAGCTGTTTCCAATAGGCCGTAGGCGTACACTCGCTTCCTGTTGTAATCCAGAGCCAGACTGTATTTACTACTTCTGTTGAAACCATATATTTGTTTGTCATTATTGGTAGCCAAGTGTCTTCGGATTACCTTTCTTCCATAAAACGGAGTCCAAAATAGATATCTACACAGTGAACAACAATACAAAATAATTATTATTAAAACTGTTATAAAATTATAATATTTTCCCAATTTGCAGCTTCGAAATTTAACCCGCGTGCAATTTCAATTAGGTTAGATCTAGGCTGGAAGCTACGACCTACTCTTTCATTCCTAATACTGCTTTGTACCTCATTCTTATTGTTATTTGAACTTGAGTATATTATGAAACTTACAAGTTTCATACGTCCTTTGGACATGGCCGCAATTGTAAGAAATTAATAGCACTTACAGTACTGTCCAGAAATAACCTAACAAAAACCGCGGTTAACCTAGGTCAAACCTCGGTCTGATTGCTGTTGAACCCAGGTCAGACCGAGGTCGAATCGCGGTGAGAAGGAGGTTTAACCCTGGCCTAACTCAGATTTGATTATTGTTTTGTCGTCCTCAGCTGCTCATAAAATTCCGTTCGGAAGCCAACGGCAACTGCGATCGTATTTTTTCCGTGCGGTCGTCGGCGGTTTCTATTGGTCGATCCTAACCGAAGCGCAACCGAACCGCGACCTAACCACAGCCGAACCGCAACCGCGGTGTTACTTGTAGACAGTACTGTAGAAGCAGTGACATCACACAGCATTATTTAAAACCTATATTATGAAATTTATCGCTCTCGAAAGACATAAAAAAATAAAAAATATCCCGCAAAAATACATTGCAGCGTGTTATGGAGGACAATGCAAATTCTGGGTGATAAAAATTGAAAATTTAATGAGGCACGATATGAGGGAAATAAAGCAATACAATTACCGGAATGGTTTGCTGGAAAATCTCTAAATCGTTAGATATTTTGTTATCAAAAAGTTTGGATTCCTGACATTAAAGAGGACAGTGTCTTGGGGGCGGCTTTTCTAAGCAGGAGTGACGAACTTGGTTTCTAGTTCATCTGTGTGTAAACACGGGCAAACAGACGGATCAACCTACAAGAGGAACTACTTGCATATATAGTTTGTCTATTTAGACGAATTTGACTCCTCTTCATGCATCACCCGTCTATTAGGGGCTGTTTACAAGAGCCCGGTTACCCGAGATTCAACGAAGCGTGAGAGGACCTTGAGGTATTGAAATAAGTCTTTATGACACCAAACAAGCACATGCTATTGTTGTGGTGATTATACGACTGCAGGGTCATGTTATTTGCTCATTTCAATATCTCAAAATCATCTCACGCTTCGTTGAATCACGGGTAACCGGGCTCATGTAAACAGCTCCGTAGTATAAATACGGGCTGGAGATTAACTACGAAAAATTAATCATAAAACGGCTCTTGTGCACTCTTCTTACCGCACAAATAATTTCCCAATTCCTGTGTAATTTTTAAACGGTTTCGTTTGACATATTTTTCTACATAGTTTGTCGAGATAGTTTGTCTTGCTTTATAAATTATTCAGACAAATGATCTGTCAGACGGATGATGCGCATCGTTACGGGCCACTGCGTAAATTATTGTCAACGAAGTATTATACATTTTATCTGAAACCGAAGTTTCGATGTAGGTCAACAGAGATTGAATCAAATACGCTGGAGATATAGAACAGTGAAAGTTGCAGAGAATATAAAAATTTTAACTCTATACTAAATACTGACGGAGCTATTGATTCAATAGGCAAAGCTTACGGCGGTTATTGGATAAAATAAAATAATTCGCAAATTTATATAATTATCTTCCTGAAGTGAAAATAAAGCACCAGGTGAGAAAGATGCAGGGTTGTCACAATTAAAGAATTTTTTTTTTAAAAACTGGTAACTACGAGGAAAGAAGGGATCTGGGATTATAGGATATATGATGTAATATTTTTAAAAGTTCTTTGTGTCTTTAGTCATCGTTATCCCTTTATGATTATGAGGACAGTGATATGGAAATAAGTTGTGGAAACCCTGGAAAGATAATATCTTTGCGACTTAAATGCTCACAAGAAAAAATTAACACGGGAGCAAAGTCTATTTTACACGGTGGTTTTTCGCAATTTCGTTACATCGCATGGGCGTACGAAGATGCTGAGAAGGCCCCGCAACCAAGACGTCACTGTGGTTGCCGAGCCAAAGGTTTGAAATTTGATTCATTAGAGTCTCGAAATAGTTAAATGAATCGAGAGCACAGTTGTATGCGTAATAACCCATACAAAATTTACAATGCTCAGTGTGAAAATCAAAATATTTTCTTTCAAATATCTGTGTTACTAGGGGGGACGGTAGTATTCTCCTCCAAAGATAATTATTTTATTTGGCAGGATATGACTTCGTGTCCAGAAACAATTTTTAAAATCTGGTATCTTTGTGGCCGCTAAGCGATTTAAACTTGACAGTATCTTGCATGATTGTATCTGATACAATACTCGCAGTTCCCCGTAAATCGAGTCAAAATTCTCCCATTATGCGTCATAATTAATGCCAGTGCCCGAACAAATAATTCAAGCGGTTTTCCTGCTAAACATGTTCCTAGAAATGTTATATGCCATTTTAAAAATATTACGTTATATAAATAAAATTATATACGTTAACTGCGATATTGCACAGAGGTCTCCGCACTCAAGCTGAAATGTTCCCGTAGCGTAAAACCGTAGCGTTACTAATAGTCCCATATCAGCCGGATGGGTTTTCCTCTGTCGTGGTGTGCAGATATGTCTGGCCTGATTCTTTCCAGTAACTCGCGAAATGCTGCCTTAGTCAATCGGTATCTGTTCCGAAATTGCTCCTCGTCATATTTCCCATAATGAAAGAGATATATTTTCCGTCTATTTATGTTGTTTGGTACAATATTATTCAAACATTCTAACCTATTTAGTCACCTATCTGCCATGTTGGTATGATTAAGTAAATTTGAGTGTTGCTCAAGGGACGTATACCTCTTACTCACACTTCACTCAAGTTGCGCTTGAGTGTTGGTGCATGGTGTCTTTGAATATTTGGAGTGTGAGTGTAGCAAGTACTATACTATGTGACTGTGAATGGACACTCATTGAGTGGTGAGTTGCACTCATTCAGAATGATCGTCCACTAATTGAGAATGAGTGTGAATGACCTCGCAGAATACAAGTGTAAATATTGCAAACGTGAGCATATAACATTTCTAAGAACATGTTTAGAAGGAAAACCACGGGGATCTGCGAGTATAGTATTAGATACAATCATGCAAGATATTGTCAAGTTTAAATCGCTCAGCGGATACCAGATTCTAAACTATTACATTTGGTAAAGAGAAGATAATTATAGGCTAAAAGAGGTGTGTCTGCCAAACGATATGGAAAATAGTCATGCACTGTCAATTATCGAACAGGAAATGTTCTTTGATGTTTCATGAGAGCAAATCTAGCAAATCTTTAGAAATGGAGCGAACAAAAGTAATTTTCCATGGTTTTATGTCATGCATGAGCGTGGAGATGAACACTAGAATAACCGCTTCTGCACCGGTTATAAACAAGCGGCAAGCATTCAATCCACAAAGAAAAAGACAACCAGAACGAAAAGGGAAAATGAGTTATTGTTGTTAGCTTTGCAAAGCCTCATTCACTGACCTATATGAGATGGACTGAGTTGAGCGCTCGAGGCCTACATGTGTCCCCACCGTTGCTCACTTCATAATTATAGGTCCTCGCGTCGATGAAATTTACCGCAGACTGATATTTGTTTTGGTTTGTGGGCGGGCTTATATTTTGGAAAAACGTTTTTAGTGAGTATCTCGTGCAAACTTGTTTTTAACGATTTGAATTCAAAAGAAAGAAAGATATTACTTCAGATATTCGAGGAATGCTTTTCATGATGGAAATACAATGTTTTAAAAACATTTTATAAGGTTTATCGCATCAATGAAAATATGAAAATGGACAGTACAAGTACGTAAACCAATAAATTATTGTGCCCAATATCGACTATTTGTAAATTCTTTGTGAATTATATTTACTTGCTGTGAAATATTTTAGTTTGTCAATCGTCAGAGTTTTCCTTGAGAGAGTTAGAATTGTGGTTATATGTATTCTTTCTATTCTTGACATAAGCATCTCCTGGATATTTGAAGAGCTTAGCCATATCCTCTGCAGTTATTGTCATTTTTCATCTTCGTATTAAAAAAAAAAGAAGTAAATTTTCGTTAATTTGTTTTGTTTTTTAATTTTCGGCTCGAATTTATATTTATCAACGGCACAAATGTTTCGTCAGTTTCGACTGCAATATCTTGTCAGTTTAACAAGGCTAACATAACAGACTTATTCGCGTTCTTTGGATCCAGAAGAAGAAAATGCTCGAAGTGAAATATAACATAAATTTCAGAAATCGAACTTAAATTTATATTCGATTTCTGAAAGTATTTCTAAGTATTTATATATCATATTTCAATCAACTTTTAATATCGCTCACACCGGAATCCGAATTACGAGCCAGTTATTTTCGGTCAGCAAGTTTATGTAAGGACCTATTTGACGTGAGCAATGGTGGTCCCATTCAGCTCCTGATTAAATAGGTCGCGCGCTCAGTCCATCTAGTATAGGTCAGTGACCTCGTCACACTGGTTTGATCAATGTCCTGAGCTTGCATCCCTCAGTTTAGACCAACGACTACCATAAGCAAGGGAGAATTACGCATGTTATAATTGCTTGAAGATAGGCTACGCATAGTCTGTTGAAGCGATTGAAGCGAAAAACTGCAGACCATGAATCAGTGGAACATATTGTGTTCTATAATGTTGCTACTATCCAGAATATGCACTTCAATTGTTAGAGTTATAAGGTAAACCAAACTGCAAATTAACATTATCATCTACATAATTATATAGCATGCTCTGAATGTGAAAAAGCATCTGACAAGTCATGAAAATTGAACAATTATCAAGAGGGACGAATTCGTGTTCAAAACAAATAAAAAAAAATAAAATCCGAAAAATATATATATGTTATTTACCAGATTGGGGACGTTTTTGGTAAACTGGTAAATAATAGATTTTTTTGTGGCCCGAGTTCATATTTTAGCGTTGGCTTTTAAATCTCGATCGCGTAGCCAATCAGATTGCAGGAAACGTTAAAATATGAATTCGGACCGCAAGAAAAAAAAATAAAGTTGCTTAAGTCGCAAAAATCTTTCTTACAAATCTGACTTTGTGCTGATAATATTTTTCTTAAATCGAACTCAATAGTTAGCTCTTGTTGCGATTACTTCCCAATTTATGAAACACTCACCCATCGATGGGGTCAATTGCTAGATCAAAAGGCTGGAGAGTTTTAATCAGCTTTCTGCTGTCTTTACCGTCTAAAGTCGCCACCTCAATGGTTTGCTTCCAAGGATCACCCCAGAATATACGACGTCCTATCCAATCAATGGTTAATCCCCATGTCCTAGCATCCGTCACAACGATTTCTTCATAAGTTCCGTCATAATTTGCCCGACGAATATCTTGCCTGTTATCCGCAAAATATATTTTCTTATTCTTCATGTCAATGTCCAGCCTCGATATATTTCCTTTTCCATTTACTACGACTGTTGAATCGAGCGTCGTCAAATCAACAACCAAGATCGCAGTGTCGCTCGCCAAAAACATATATTGCTCAGGATAAGGTCCTGGAAAAAGATTACAGTTGAAGTCAAATATTGCATATTAATGTACAAGTTTGCATAGTTATAAACGGAAAAACTAATGCGGAAATGTGGTGCTTTTTGTGATTGTTCGCTGGATTGGATAAGTTACAGCTAAACCAGATGTTACGAACGTTCTCGTCAACATTGCAATATTGCTCAGCAATATTGCAATATATTGCTCAGCAAAATTGCAATGTTGATTGGCTAATTGCCCGCAGCAATTACGAATGGGCGCGGGCAATTTACAACGGTCGGCATAGGTCCATTCGAGACAATCGAGTAAATTTATTTCAATGATATGTCTATCCAAAAAACAAAAGTTGTTTCCCTACTTGTTTGGAAACTTATGTTGGGTTTTTGGTTATATAAGCGGAGAGACTTTTACGGCTATTGCTAATTGTACTGGTGTGACATCGAAAACAGTGTCAAATATTGTAAGCAAATTTATTTAACCCAGTTATTTGCGGAAAAGAAAGGCATATTGCTTCCCAACCAGTTGTAGAATACATTGAATATCGAAAAATTTCCAAGCCCAGTATTACACGGTTGGAAATTCAAGTGGCACTTGTCAATGATGGTATTTGTATCTTGGAGAATTTGCTGTCGAAATCGACAATAAGCGATGTGCTTGGAAAAGATTTTAATTTCACTCATAAAAAATTAAAAGTGGTGCCACAAGAATCTTTAACAGAAAAAAATCAATTGAAATTATTGCATCACGGAATTTTCATGAGCCAAATTCATCCATCAAGAGTTCATTTTTTTGACGAATGTTCTTGTAAAACAACAACGGGCAATGGCGTCTATGGACACGCTGAAAGGGAAAGGAGAGCCGTGGAAGTTTAACGTTACGCGTTCGACTGTAACTACATGCACAATTTACTGCAGAGCAGATTTGGCAGAACTCACTTCAATCTGCTATAAGGAGCATCAAATGGTCTTGAAATGTTTTAATATTTCCACGAAAGCATGCAAATTGTTGATGAAGTTTACGGAAATCCTGTGTTGGCACAAGAAGATGTAGTTGTGATGTATAATAATGCAGGTTCCAGCCACCACCGGCACCACGGACAGTCGGACACTTTGCAGAGGCCGAACTGCGAAGAATACGTGGTCAGATCGAGAGATATAACTCCAATATTTCAACCTCCATATCCTGACCAAATCATGAACAAGCAAATATTGAGCGAGAAGAAATTTTGTTGATTTACGGTCTAAACGCCAGTTTAAAAGACTATTACATGAAAGTACACATCATACACATCAGGAATTAAACCAGTTGTTCAGCGATTTCCGTAAAGCACTCAGGCTACTACAGAGTCATTAAGTACAAGCTTTGCTTCATCTATTATTTTACATTTGCTATAAACTGTTTATGCAGTATAAGCCATTTACTTCTGTTGGTGCTTAATAATTATCATCTCAAAAATATCCTCACCATACCAATGGCATCACCATAAACGATAAGGACTGCCGTACAGAAAATGAATTTCCCAGCGAAATATTAAAAGAGTTTGGTTGAATAACTTGGCCACCATCTTTGAAGCTGTGTTACATGTATTTATTATTAAATAATAATAAAGGAAGTTAATTTTATACGGGTCTTCGTATCGTAGTGTCTCGGGTCTTAGGACGCTGGTCCGGTCGGTTACTTGCCCCCCCCCCGGTGAGTATAAATATGAGCCCAGTTGCCTGATCGAGTTGTTAGCTGCTTGCGTGACCCATCCCTTCCCTTTCCCTAAGGACTTCACGCGATTTTGTGAACTCTACGGGAGAAGCGTCTTATTAATCTCGCTGGGGTTTTTTGTTAGTTTTATGTTTCACATGCAGGATTAAGCACAGTTCTTTTCACACCCGTTTTGGTCGTTGAATTGGTGTTTGGGGTAAAGGTAGATTAATTAATGATCGCCACATTTACAGGTATTTTTTCTTTTTTTTCGTGTGTGTGTGTGTACTTTGACGTTCGTATCGTTTCTCCCACGGTTTCACTTCAGTGACTCACGTGTGACAGTTGACCACGGGATGGAGGAGGTACCGTTAAAAATAGCATGGTTCGTAGAGTTATTATCTGCGCCGAAAACAGCAATCTCAAAAGAAACACCGTTTCACCCCTAGCCCGATCGTTTCGCTCGGATACCGTCTCCATCCCTACCGATCGGCAGCGGGCAAAAAATATAGTGTAAGAGCTGGTGTGTTATTGTACTGATGTGAGCCTTAGGATCCGTTAGAACGTTAACGGGCGCTATGTATATAGTTTAGTAGCTGGAAACGAAGCCATTTAATAAAACAAAAACTATTTGCTGATGTTTGAAAGCAGTTAATGTGACAACTAAGAGCCATAAATTCGAAAAATACGGGGAAAATTCGCGATTACTAATTGTCAAAACGACAAAAGACCAAAGCCAACTTTTTTTTTAAATTAACCAAAAATTCATCCGAAGTCATTTTGGTATGCACCACCAATGGCAATGTAAATGTCTGGAAAAAAAACTTCTTCAAACACCAAATGCACAATATGTATAAACTTGCTTCAGTGGCTTTTGCTATAATTGTGATAAATTTTTATTTTTTTAAAATTTTCATAGCGATATGTTTCACGTGAAGCAAATATATTTTTTATATTTGAGCAATTTATTCCAGATGGTTGCAGTCAATAGTTCTAAAATAAATGGAAAAACTTCTAATATTTATTGAGCTATTGTGTTCTTCACTCATCTAATTAGAAACCCAGATCCACTACGTCCACTGGGCCAGTGAATGAGCAACTCCCGCTTCAAGCAATGTGGCTCGTCAAATTTCTAGCCTAACAGGGTGGATTGTGTTTTTAATAAGGTTACATGTAACCAAAGTTAACATATTGCGAGCAAGAAGGGGCGCGCACGCACCAACGAGTTATCGGGGACATGGCGGCATGCACGTCCTGGATCTGAGAAAGCATCTGATTGAACCTGTGAAAAATTTTCTGGTCTGTTTATTTTATTTTGCTTTACCTTCCGCCGAACTTGGTGCGGAGTGATAAGGCGCAATCGTTCGATGTTCAGGTCTTTGCTCGGTATACAAATGTTACACAGACCTGGATACAAGTAACCCGATTCACGTATAGTCGTGCCCGACGTCTGCACCTAACGATCAACACGGGTAAGTATAGGCGCATTACCAAGCTTCGCAATCCCCGCGACTGATGTTAATGATGCCCTGATTGTATAGTATGTAGCATGATTCTTATTAATTTTTCTGGCAATGGGAAGTTGTAATGTCTTATAGCTACTGCGGTTCTGCTCGTCTAATCTTGCGTTTCAATTATGCACCATGGCCATTATTTTGAAATGAGGGACTGTAGCCTTTCCATGCAGGGAAGCACTTCGGGCTTAAATCAATCAGAGCATATGCATTTTCACGGAACATGCAGCATATGCCAAACCAGTGAATGTAGTTACAACACTTCAAAAATCACAAAAAATCAAGAAGAAGTGGTAAAAAGGAATTAGCAACGAATATCTTACACCTTAAACGAAATGCATGGGAAGAAAAAAAAATTATGTTACCACCTACGTTGACTTTAATTAATATCCTATAGTATTTTCACGACAAGCTGTCAAAAATTTTGCTGTGATAATTATAACGAAATATTTTTGCCCAATTGGTAAACACATTCGACATGCAAATCTTCGAATTGCTGACTCCTTGGCTTAACATACTGTATTGTGAACTGGCAAAAAAGCAGGTCTTGTGTTTGAGAGCGATTGTTCTTTACTTGAGGCGCCAGCGCCATAGGACATGTCCTGGACAGTGCGGATCAAAATTAATTTTCTAATTCCTAGCTCCATATCCGACGAGACATATATGGAGGACGGCAGATTGGTTTCGATCTAATTCGGGCCTTTGTCGCATATTTTTTCTTAAAAAGCGACAAAAAATCCCAATACACAGGAAAACGCATTTAGTAGGATACTCCCGCCTTCTGCGGGCCCAAAATGGTAGAGTTGCTACAACTTATGCTTCGAAAACACATTTTGTTTTAAATGTAAGATATTTATAAAGTATAAGGAAAAATTTATCTTGCAATAATTTATGCAGTAGGCTTGCATACGAAATGTTTCCTAAGAATTCTTTTAACCGGGTTCTCGAGGTTGTAAAATTAAATAACCTTTTGGAACAAAACTTACTTTATAATCGCCTTTGGTATGTTCTCGTGGCGACCTATTAAGGATAAGACGTCGGACACTTATTCTTGATGTTTGTTGTTTGGTGATACTGTAAAAACACCGATAACTGATGCCTGGTCCAGCTAAAAGTGAGACCATGCAGAGTGGAAGCGAAAAGGTTGAAATTTCACGATCAAACCACGACAATTATATGAGCCTTCGATAAGTCTTAAGTGAAACTTACGAGGTCGCAGTCATATTATCTACGAAATTAATTACCACAACGTCAAACTAATGCACGAGGTCAGCATCTAAATATTCATTATTCCTTAATATATAGAGGAAAATTAGTATTATCTGGCTTGGCTGATCCATCGAATACAAAACATAATTTTGTCATCTTCTCGACGATAAAGGCCCTATTACACGGTGCAATTTTTCTTGCAGCTTGCAATGCAATTCTACTTTTGAGAGATGTATATTTGGGAACGACGAAACTTTTAAGTTTATTACACTTCGTGTACTTTTCTTTTTAAAGACTCTTCACTAATTTACATCTCTTAGAAGCAGAATTGCATTGCAAGTTGCAAGAAAAATTGCACCGTGTAACAGGGCCTTAAAGATTTCGACTCTATTTGATGATTTTAACTCAATTCCTGTAAATATTTAGGAAACACTGGGAAAACCGATCTACGGTATTCTTAATTCTTCCCACCCAAAGACTACAAGCCTCTAACATCCCACATTAATTGTGTCATAAATTGTATTTAATATCCTGACACCCTTACTTATTAGGAATGCCGTTAGAGGCTATGTTAAACCAACAAAATCACAATTATAGTTTAAAGGCTGCTTTCCAGTTCTGCGTTTTTTTCCCGTGCGTAAACGTACGGATAAAAACGCACGGATTTTTCATATCCACCACAGCGTTTTTAGTTGCGTAAAATTCGCGGGAGATTTAAAATTTTTAAAGATGGCGTCCGACGAGGAGTTAGTTTTGTTGTTGTGGCTTCGTAAAAGGAAACGAGGAATAAGCAAATACAAAAAGCGTTTCTGGGTAAAAGATATACTGAAACGTCGAAAAACTCTTGGCGAATATCATCGATTAATTCAGGAAATGCGACTAAATGACCACGAGTCATTTTTTCAGTATTTCAGAATGACCCCGAAACGTTTTGAAGAAACCCTACGTCTCGTTGGCCCATACTTGGTTAAAAATTCGTTGACCCGCGAACCTATATCTCCTGGAGAGCGCTTGGCTGTTACCCTTCGATACTTGGCAACAGGCGACTCGCAGCAAAGCATAGCATTTAGCTTTCGTCTTGGGCATACGACAGTAACAAGAATTGTCGAGGAGACTTCTGAAGCTTTGTGGAAATCGTTAAGAAATTACATGAAAGCACCATCAACTGAAAATGAATGGAAGAAGATTGCATCCGACTTCTGGGAGATATGGAATTTCCCAATGTGCTGTGGTGCAATTGACGGGAAACGTGTGGTTATGCAATGTCCTGCCCGTGCTGGTTCTTCGTTTTTCAACTACAAAGGTTTAAAAATAATAGATAACATGCAGGGCCAATTTGAACTCTACAATTATAATTTGTTTCATAAAAATACATGAACTACAAATGATGGCTAAGTGTTTTTTTCTGTCAAGCCAACTATCTTTTCAAATTGCTATATATGCCCTAATCTTTAATATTTCTATTCATTTATAAATATTAGGTACCCATAGCATAGTGTTGATGGCAGTATGTGATGCTAGATACCTCTTTACCTTGGTGGAAATTGGTAGTTCTGGCCGAAATGCTGATGGGGGCATTTTTGCTGAATCAGAATTTGGAAAAGCTCTTGAAAATAATAATCTAAATTTACCTGTACCTGGTCCCTTACCCAAGAAACCTACGGATCAGTGCCCTTATCTATTTGTCGCTGATGATGCTTTCCCACTAAAGAAATGGATGATGAAGCCGCACCCTGGTAAATTTCTATCAGAGGAGAAGAAGATATTTAATTATCGCCTATCTCGTGCACGGCGTGTCATCGAGAATACATTTGGCATTGCTGCAGCTAGGTGGAGAGTGCTGAGGAGACCAATTCAGGCATCAACTAGAAAAGTTGCCAGTATAACCAAAGCTACTGTTGTTCTGCATAATTACCTGATGATTGAGGAATTTGGCATTCCAAATCAATCTAAGAGATACTGCCCAGCCGGATTCATTGACATTGAAGACAGGTATATAGATTATCTATCTATCACAGGCAAATAGCAAATATATTATACACATGTCTTGCAAGTGCTTAAGATTGAAATATCATAAAATTGTGTATAGATATGGAAGAAACAGGCCCGGAGATTGGAGGACTTTGACACAAAACGACACTGGCCTGTTACCAATTCAAAAGCAGGGTAGTAATAACTATGCACGTAATGCCAAGGCTGTTCAAGATTTGCTCACACATTATTTCATATCAGCTGAAGGAGAAGTGCCATGGCAATATGCTCATGTGCAAAATCTTGGTCAACATGAGGAATAAGAAAAAAACTGCTTACAATATAAAATATAATTTTAATTGTGTGAATCAATAAATAACAAATTTCATTAATGTAAAGAATTAATGTTTATATCAACTGTATAATAACAAAATTGTAAACAATTAACAAAAACACAAAGAATATGTTAAAAACAGATTATTAATTATGTTAAATATATGTGTTTGCTAACAGTACATGCTTGGTTCATACTTATTCATCTTCTTGCCATGATGGGGTTATTAAGACAGGATTGTTATTGTGAGATTGAGTAATCATTGAAGCCTGTGGGATCTGAGCTTGGCACAAGACCTTTTGAATTTCACTCATTGCAACTGCTTTGGCCTCAGGATCCAATAATCGAAGTTGAGCAGATACACTCTTACCAAAGGCATCTTCTGCACTAATTGGTGTTGTGATAACTGATTCTTTTGGATTTTTCGTACCAGATAGATATTCCAAAATTTTAACATCTATGGCTCTATCCACATGCTGTTGAGACATTGATGCATATGATCGTTTTCTAGTGGGCTTTTGAACAGTAGTATCTTCCACAACCATGTTGCTGGGTTTTTTGGATTGAGTAGAACCAGACAAATCTGTATTCTGAGATTCAACTTCCAACTGTTTTTCACATCCAAGTTGTGATGAATCTTCATTTGTCTTGTTTTGATTTAATGTGTCATTGATCTGTACAATTGGTAGTTGGAAATTACTCTCTGCATTCTTAGCTCTTATATTTACATAAGGTTTGAGAAAAGACATGGCATTGAGATAAGGATATTGAGGTGCTTCATCTACCCCCGAACCACTTTTCTTTGCAGTACCACTTAGTGCACGAACATAATTATCACGAATATTCTTCCATATTCTATCTTTATATTCGGATACTACAGATTTAATAAAGTAAAAGCTGGTCAGCTGTTATATTGAACCAAAATGCTCTGCATAATATTGAATTGGCACATATATGTATATATATATATAAAATATATATATATATATATATATATATATATATATATACATATATTGCATGCATTTATAATTACAGTTGAGGACCTTTCCCCTAGAATTTCCAGAGACCTGGTTTTTCATGGGTGTCCCTTGGGATATCCCATGCAACTTTTGGAAACTGCACCCCTTGAAATACATATAGTAAGTTGAATAAGTTTACCCCTTCCTTGGACTTTCCAAACCATTTAAGAGATATGAGCAATTATTGGCAACCCTTGGAAATATTTTTTACCCTTGCACCTAGAATTTCCAAGTGAAAATACATGATACCTGTTTACATGATACGGATACAAATACATATACATGATACGGATTAAAAATGTATGTGATTTATATAAATAGAGAATATTCTCATTACTGAGTGCAATTTTAAAAGCTTGCCTTGATTCTGGACTGTCAAGCAATATTTCAGGCAAAACATGATGCAATTTTTATATTGCATTAATACATTTGCACTCCACAGTAAATCATATAACAACAACAAAGCTCCCTAACATAAAAAAGACAGATTTTAATACCTGTGTAGCTGGTGTCGCTGTCTTTATTTACACATTCTGCGACCTCTTGCCAAGCATTTTCCTTAATGGTTTTGTTTTTGTAGTTATTATCCTTGGTATTCCATAATGCAGGATACTTTTGTACTTCTGAAATAAGTTTTTCTTCCACATTAGAATATTTTCCCATCTCGAACAGTTCAAAAGTCTGGAAACTTTCCAATTTTTAATATTATATTTAGCTATTTCTATATTTTATAAACTAAAAAAACACCGTTCACGTGATCTGACAATCACTTTCCATTGGATAACTGGCTTGCGTGTCTGGAACATTCGCGTAAAAGTTGAACACCGATCAACTCACGCGTTTACGCTTGCGGAGACCACGTACGTAAAACGTGCGTGCACGCACGTAGAAAAACGCAGAACTGGAAAGCAGCCTTAACTATAATATTACAGAGTAAAGTAAAAACGCTAATTCACATTCACTATCGCAATCCCTATTTAATACTCTCAAGTTGAGCGTTACTTCCAATCTGCCTTTAATTATCCGAATTCCTTACTTATTATTGATCCTCATGCAGTATTAATTTATACCTATGACGTTGGCACAATTTCCAACACACTTGTACAATTTTAAAATGTTAAACTCCCAGCCGCGGTGTGGATCGAGCGCCGTGTAAGAACTTGTAAGTCCCGGCCCTGGTAAGGTAGTGTAAACTTGCCGTTGTATTAGGTCGCTGATGTTTATTTTTTAACATAAATCAGATAAATGAATAATTTCTAAATTCTTGTGATGAAGCAAAAGATTCTGGCAATGGGAAATAGCATTAATTTGTTCCACTTTCCACCTGTCTCGAGTTTCTAACATTCCAAGGAACCTTTATGCCGTTGAACCATACATAATTATGTAGGTTAACAATTTGCCCCACAGAAAATGAGCTGATTCGGGTTAGTTTAAAAAAGAGGTGATGAAGAAAAAAGTAGCAAAAGTACCATATACATTAAATGTCTGGAATGCGTAAACATTTAAACGTCATTAGGCTATAACGTTTGTTTTATTAATGGTGAGCTATGTTAAACAACCAAGCTATAACCCATCCATGCACATCAATCATATACCATATGTTTGCAGTACACAAAGCAAATAGGGTTTTTATACTAACTGCACACATGCAGCTTGGATGAGATAAGTCATTCAAAAAGCAAAATCGTTACCGAAAATGAAAAATATACGGGGGGGGGTGACTGAAAGTCCGACAAGTTATAAAATGTTCTAATTTTAAACAAGACTGCATGTATAATTGGTAGGTAAAAACTGATTGACTGATGGCAGTCATTTTTTTGCTTACCATCATAGAAGCACATCTTTGAGTGCATACGCATTCTCTCCTGGAGATATTTTCTTTCTGTCGTACAACCAGGGGAATTATTCTCACGTCGACGTTCATTAAAATATTGTTGAGTTTCAAAGTTATATAGTTGACTTTCAGTAAAATATCGTTCAATATCATCCAAGTTTTTAAGACTTTCATTCACACATCTCTTTTCCCAGTTTTTCACGTCTTCTTTCAGTTTCTTCAATTGCTTGTCACAAATAGGAATATCTTCATTGCAATTAATCAGATTTCCACCAAAATATATCAAGATCTTTAAAGCGAACAACATTTTGGTTGAAACGAAAGCCATCTTATTCATTTCTGTTTATTCTCCCAGTAAAGTACACAGATTATCTGAAGAGAAATATATTAAATATGCAATTTTATTGTGAACAAAATTAATGACAGCTGAGACTCTGCAGAACTATTATACGCGATATCCCTGTAGTAATCAGATTTCTTCTCCAAAAAACTAAATAACCGGCAACTTGAACCTGCGACAGAACAGCGCAAATCGGCGTCATAATTGGCAATCCATTGTTATGCGTATGTGATTGCTTTGAAGTGTTACCAGTTAGTCCCTATTAAATCCATTCTGTATTTTCTGAATGGATATCTTCATCATTATAATTATATGAGTTTGGTATGTCTCAGCAGAGACGATCGAAGGGCTTTCCTTCGATAGTCTATGGTCGCCGACGCAATTTTCCGTTTCGTAAACCGCCAGTGTCACCAGTGACAATCAGTGTCACCACTATTAGCGTACGTCACATCCGATGAGTAACTACGTAAGTGTAATCTGCTATGCTGACAATCTCTGAATGTGTATGTTTTAAAATGGCGGTGGTAAATGATTTTGAAGAACTTTTTAACACGGTTATCAATGATATTGACCGTCAAACTTTGTCTAAGTCGCTATCGAAAGATCAGGAAAAAATCAGGAAGAGAGTGAAAGCGATGAAAAGGTTACCAGAATGCGGCGAATACTCGGTAGAAAGTTTCCATGCATCTGAAGGTAATAAATTCAAATTATATGTTTCCACACGGAATGTATCAGCCAATGATTTCGAAGAATGGATTTTGGAATTTCAGGAGATCAACAGTGTTACTTTAAAAGTTAAAGCTAAAAAGAAACCAAGCAAACCATACAAGTTGCAGAACTACTATCGTTGCCATCACAACATGCGGATTATCAGCCCACAAAAAGACCCCCAACGAAGGCTGCAGAGCAACCCAACAGCCAGAGTCAAGAACACAAATTGCCCCTTTCAGCTGGCTATGAAAATAGATGTATTTGGTAAGTGTTTCATAAGCGTTGAATGAGAACATAATCATTCGACTGAGAATTTGGAGGCTTTTAACTTCAAGGAACTCATCCGCCATGTTCACAAACATGCTAAAAGCGCGCGAGCCTTTGTTATTAATATTCTGTTTCGTATTCACCGGATGTGACGTACGCTAATAGTGGTGACACTGATTGTCAGTGGTGACACTGGCGGTTTACGAAACGGAAAATTGCATCGCCGACATAATTAATTTTCAACATATAACTCACTAATGACTTCAGTGGTGTCAGTTTAAATTTTCATGAACCTAATCCAATCCTAATTAAATCAATCTTAGTTTTGGTTAATCGAAATAAGTTGTGGTAACTGCTCCTTGCTTTTTCATTCTAATTTCAGCGGCGACTTCCTGCTTCTTTGTTTTTAAGAGCACTTTTTTCTGGCATACGTTACGTTAACAAAAAGTGTAATATTAATGCGTTTTATTATCCCTATTCTATAAAAAATATACCAATTTTATCAAACGCATGATGTACTTTCTTTACTTGCTAGCTCCCGTAGATGTTTAATGGAATATTTATCATATTCGCGGGTTAAGGACGCCCAATCAGCAATCGGGCCATCGGGCCTAATAGTGCCATATAAGGGCCCAAACGGGCCTAATAAAATGCCTGACACACGAAACGAGGAACGCAAGAAATGGAGTAAGATAGAAATATGTGTACCTCGACAGAGTAATGAACCAAAGGAATCCAATCTGGAGGAGTGTCTGGAAAATTTATTGAAGCGCCAAGAAGAGATGGAGAGAAACTTTAATGTTTACTTAAGCACTGAAAAATTAAAGCATGTGCAGTCTAGTCGTAAACGAAGAACCTCTCCCCCGTGGAAAACGAAGAAAGTACATAAGGAATGGTTAACGTTTTAGTTTGTGTGCATGTACTGCACTACGAAAAAGTACAGTTGAGCAGATGGGCACATGCTCATAACTGCTCATGAACAGATGCTCATCTGCTCATAAAACTGCATTGCTGCTCAATAACCAGGCATTTCTACACTGCCCGTCCAAAGGGAATGAGCTGCCAATTTTGCGGAAGGCATTTTAGCCGCAGCTATACAATCAGCGCAAACAAGAAACAGGAATACTGTCCACTACGAGAGCAAGAAAGAAACATGTCTCAAACAGACTCTGACAGCGAAGGTGGAGATTTCCTAGACGATGTCTTGACCACTCTCAGTCAGCAGTCCGAAAGTTCGACGACGACTGAATCAGAATCTGAAGAAAAAACGGATCCATGGATGCCGCCTATAGAAGAAGCACAGCAAAGAAGTAATAGAGCTTTCGAAGAAATGCAAGAAAGCCTTATAAACAGTGGTTCTGATGAGCACTTCGCGGAAGGGAAAGCTTTCCGAGCATCATGCCTAACCTTCAGAAAGAATTAGACTATATCGATATATCTATCAAACGTAGAATTGCATTGCAAGTTGCAAGAAAAATTGCACCGTGTAACATGCAGGGCCTTAAGTATAGGCCTAATTTCAAATAGCTCCACGCACATCTCTGACGCCAGCTGGTCATGAGGGAGAGGAAATTGTGTTTTGGACTTGTTTGTAATGTTCAATAAGGATATCTGGGATCTGTGAAACCTTTGGTCAACACTGTCGTTTAATTTAAATACCAGGCAATTTTTCTGATCATGAATATGTCACCCTTGGTAAAAAAGATTCGCGCAATATTTCTAAATGCACTATATTTTGAGATGAAGAATATTTCTATCGCTAAATCCCTGCAATTTGGATATTCAACATTTCGTCTCAATTTTTCGGATGAAGCGTTTTACAAAAACAAAATATTTGTGAGATTATTCAAGCATATTTTTTCTCAAGAAAGCGGGTCAGCTATAAGTATGGGCTTAATGTCAAGTAACTCCCCGCTAGTGAGTTAGAGGAAATTGCGTTTTGAACTTGTTTGTAGAATGTTCTTCAAGGATACCTGGGATTTGTGAAACCCAAACACTGTCGTTTAATTTAAATCCCTTGAAAAGGAAATCCCTTTTTTTGATCATGAGTATGTCACCTTTGGTATAAGAAAAAATCAGCGCGGTTCTGTATATATAAAATATATATATATATATATATATATATATATATATATATATATTTTATATATATATAGAACTTTAATGCACTATATTTTGAAATGAAGAATATTTCTTTTAAAGGGTCTTAATTCGAGTAATTGAAGTTATACACACTTCAAATTCAAGCCAGGAACAGTTGATGGAAAAATGAGTCAACTATAGGTCGTCCGGCAGGAATCCAACTTATATGTATACGCTTTTGCGATGCAGGTGCAATGCTCTTGCCACTGAGCTACAGAGGCAGCTGCATGACATGAGCAGTTTGGATTTACAACATTTCTGCTTAATTTATTTCGCCTAAAGCTTAATTGTTACTAAAACAAAATACTTGTGATATTATTCAAGCGCATTTACTGTTAGGACTTAGGAAAGCGGCTTAATGACAACTAACTCCTCTAAGTCAGAATATACCTGGTGTTCAAATGCTCTGTTTGGTTTCCTGAAGTATCTCGTTTAAATTTCATTGATTTCGATAAAAGATTGATGTGTTTTTTAGTACAGTTATAGACTTATGGTGTTGTCCAGAAATAAACTATAACACTGCGGCTGCGGTTCGGTTGCGTTCGACCGATAGAAACCGCTGACGACCGCAGGGAAAAAATACCTTCGCAGTTGCCGTTCGCTTGCGAACAAAATGCTATGAACAGCTGAGAATGACAACACAGTCGCCAAATCGAAAAACTCTTAAGTAATCTCTGTCAGACCGAGTTAGTCCGTGGTTTAACCTCCGTCTTACCACGGTTCGACCTCGGTCTGACCTATGTTAAACCGCGATTAGACCGAATCTTGACAAAGGTTAACCGCGGTTTTTGTTAGGCTAAATCAAAACCGTTTGTTTAAATATTGACAAGCTATTTCAAAGCGTATTATTTCAAAGAGCTTTCTTTGCCGACTAATCCCTATCCGTTTAAGCATTGTATTACTCCCTTCAGTTCAACACACCTGTCAAGCTATAGTTAAGTCTTATGTAGTCATTGCGTTATAGCATTACTTTCATGAGTTCCACTATCCCCAAAAATTGTCGCGGTTCTTCAGGCAATACTGTAAATATATTAAATATCATCCATGCAAAACAAGCAATACGATATTGCTCTATCGAGCAATACGAAATATTAAATTATTATCAGTATGTTAGCCTAAATGCGATGCATTCGTTTGAATGGAAAGCTACAATATTGAGAGCGTTTTTCAAAAGTTCAACCGTTTTGAAACTACTTATCTATATAATTTATAGCCTGAAAGTTTCAGGCTTTTCTAGTTAATATATATACGATCCAAATGCAGGCATATTGTTTTTATTTGGAAAGGCGAATACAATACATACAGGTTAACATGTAGGGTAACATTTCCTGCGTTGTTGGATGATATACTTTTAATTTTCCTGATAAAACTTTTTGAATATCACCACGAAATACGGCTCAACGGGTGCATGCAAGATTATACGGAATGTATATATTAAACAAACAAACGAAGCCCCTGACGATTTTATGCTGTTTTCTAAAGTATCCTTAAAACAATATATTTGATACGTAAAATACACATTTCTATGGCTTAGAAACGCAATGGAACAACAACTATGTATATACATTCATATATACATAAATATACATTCATGCATGGACTAAATTGACTTATAGCACAGTAAAAATAAAAATTCAATTCGTTAGCTATTCAAAAATAGCATTTCCTTTCGTTTTAAAAAAACTTAAACAGTTAGCTTACGAAAATTTTAAAAATATCCTACCTCAGCTGGCTATGGTGTTGCTTTCTGTGATAATTATATACAGTTTTCCTTCGTCTCTCAAATTTCGATGTCTGTTATGGATGTATATTCAAAAGGCGTATACTGGAATACTGAAGGTATACGTGCAGTTATATTTCATTAACTCCGCTTAATTAGACACGTTCTCAAGAGTAAAAGCGCTTTAATAATTGTAATAAAGATTTTTAAAAACTTTTTTTCGGGAAAACACTTAAACTATAAAGAAACAAAATTTCAAACGTTTTAACCGCCAGCACGCAAGCACCAATGCTTTTCCGTACTACTACATGTAAAGCAACATAAAGCACAAACTTATCGTCAAAGTGATTCAGGTTAGTAATAAGAGCAAAACAAGAATTAGAAATTAAAGATATTAACAACAAGTTTGAAAAGAAGCTTACGAGCAGTTTTCACCTGTCGTAATAACAATAAAGCGGCGCCTCATTTTCTTTAATCCCCGAGCCGGCGCGAAGCGCCGTGCGAGGGTACTAATTCCGCTGGGAGATTTATTACACCCGGGTATTGTGACAGAACATAACGGAATCCAAAGTTGCTCAAATTCTATGTCGTGGATCGTGGACGTTCAATGGTCATGGTACTTGTGCGCATGCGTGAAATGCGAACGAGTGTAGACTGGTAATCAACGAACGCTCTGATTGGCTAAGTCAGAAAGTTTGTAATTCAATGAGAACGTCAGCAATTTAACTGTCATTTCGTAAACATTTTTGTAAAAGCGTTTCATAAACTTTGTGCAAAGAAAGTAAAACGAGAAGAAACAAGATATATGAAGCATGACAGATAGCAAAGATGAACGTGGATACAGTCAAAACAAAGCCGTGTAAGAGGAATAATTCATAATCTGCAAGCTTATAAATGTTTTCAAAGACAAAGGGGACGTGTTTACTTTGTTTATCTTGTACTTGTTTCGCGGTAAGAATGAGCCGTATTTGTATACTTTTCAGCTTTGTATGCCGTTCATTTGTTAAATTTTCAGCTTTTTCTGCAAACGCATAAACCTGTGAAGGGCTATTACACCTTTGCTTTAACTTCAAAAAGTGTTTTTGAAAGTGTAATTTGAATTTTGGTATCAAAAATACACACTATATTTATAAAGTATACTGAAACTTTTAGCCGCCGGCGTTGACTGCAATTACAGAATAAAATAACTGCATTTGAAGTTTTTTCTTTGTCTGTGAAGATTTTGTACTGTCTTAATCGTTTGAAACTTCGATTTTAAACCGTTACTTAATTGCTGGCATGGTATAATGCAGCAAAATTGAACGGGCAATGTTTACACTAGCTTTGTGATTATTTTTGTATTGAATGATGGAAACTTTAAGACTGATTTGAGTTTTGTGTCAGTTTAGGTCAGGTTAACTCAGGAAATTGTGTACTTGGTTTGAAATAACGAGGGGTTGCTGCATGCATGTATTTCTAGTCAATAGGCTTATATTCCAGATGCAGTAATCGAACGTACGCAGTGGTAATGAAAACCCACAACGGGTTATCATTGGTAATATATATTGAGGCTATACTACAATAATCATTATAAATCGACTATAATATTCTTCCATGTTATACAGTTCAGTGGTGTAGACGTGTACTTTGGGCTCCGCTGAAAATATTGTGAATTCGCCAAGTAATTGCTGCTGTTAAAAAATTTCTAACTACAATTGGCTTAGTACATATTACGGTTTTAATTTGCCTACACCATGGCGAGTATAAATCAAAGCGAATCTTCGACTCAACCGACTATCAACAATCAACTCGTAGTCGAGGGATCAAAAATCAAATGGAATGGCTCCTTCGAAGATCTGAAAGCTTTTACCGAGCTGCGCTTGGGTTTAGGAGGCAACTGGACATCACCTGGTGGATCAACTAAGCTCTTTAGCAGCGATGAAATAACAATAAAATACTCGAAGAAATCGTTAGTATTGTCATTCGAAGGCGAAGCCTCTCTGAAAATCAAAGACCTAGTCAAAGACATATATCTAACTAATAAGGCAGCATCTGAGCACATAGCGGACGGTGAACCCTTGACCGAAACGAGAGAGACTGTGGAAAGCGATAGCGAATTACTCGAATCACAAACAGGCGGCGAAGCCATTGCAAAACATCAAAGCTTAAAGATCGGGAATTTGCATTTCATCTCGGAGTCAACAGACAGTAATTTGCATACAAACTCACGAGACTGTAACCTGAACACTGATAAAATACAGCTAAATGATGAAAACTACACAAGTAATTTAAATAGTACAAACTTCAACAAAAACCCAAAAGAACTTTACGAAATTGAATCTAAGCTAGAGAAATATACCCAGAGTGTTACTCAAAAACTAGAGGCTCTTGCTGATGAAATTTCAACAATTAAAGAAACTAAAGAGAACAAAGCATATGCTATCCTGGTCTTAGAGGACGTTGTTAACGAGTTAAGGAAGGAAAAACTGCAACTTAACCGGGAAAATAACGAGCTAAAAGAGAAAAATAGGAACTTGTTCCAATCTCTGTCCGAAGCTAGAGCTAAAGTACTGGACCTCCAGGAAGAGAAATCGAGTCTGATGACCTCACTGAAGCTGGTCCAACGTGAAAAAGTTCTACCGGCGGAGAGGGAGAGAATTAAAGAACTGGAAACTGAGAACGATAGTTTAAGAGCAGCTGCAAGATCCCTACAAGAAGACCTCAATGATGGAAGCAAAACACAGAAACGGGATTATACCAAAGTAAAGAGCTCTAGTAAAGATACATCTGAAAGCGTTTTTGAGTCAAAGAATCGGTACGAAGTCCTCAGCATCAGTGATCAAGAAGACGATGCCAATGATTCTGTGAGCAAAGTATCTTTAGACAAAACCTTGGAAACTGGTCATCGGAATGAGAACACTAACACAACTCATAAAGGCACAAAATCCAAGCGAAACATCCTACTAATTGGAGATTCAATGATCAAGGATATTAATCCTCACAAGATATCAAAAAGCTCAGTTCGAAAGTTAATATACCCTGGGAAAAGAGCTGAGGAAATAGCAAATGAATTCCAAAAAGCTCATGTGCATTCCTCTCCCACAGATGTTATCATACACGCTGGAACGAATAACTTAATACAGAACTCGAGTAAAGAATGCTGCGACAATATTAAGCATCTAAGCTCTACAGTACAAAACAAGTTTAAAGATGCCAGAATCGCAATATCTGGCCTAATATCGAGAGGAGATATTGACGTAGCAACAAAGATTCATGAAACCAATAAATTACTATACAATCTATGCAAGAAAAAAGGATATACATTCATCGCAAATAAGAACATAGACGAATCCTGCCTCAATGGCTCTAAGTTACACCTTAATACAAAGGGATCAGCGCTCCTGGCTGTCCATTTTATCAAATTTCTTCGGCGACTTTCACATCCAACTGTTGAGGATTTTCCGAAGGAACTTCATCATCTGGGGAGCTTCTGAGGATGATCATACCACAGACGCCAAGGAAAAGAATTCATCGTTAGACAAATCGTTATATAACGCGGAAAAGAGTACTTATGCCACAAATAACAATGATCTGGCGAACACGTCAATAATAGGTAGTGTGGACGACCAATCTGCTGTGCGGGAGTCTGAATCGGTGCTACCGAGTGTAAATCGTAAGTGTACTAATATTAATTATAAACCATTTGGCAAAGGTCTAGTTATGGCCTCACTAAATATTAATAGCCTTTTTGCGCATATTGATGAATTTCGAATATTTATGAAAGAATCTGATATTGATGTTATCTCAATTAACGAAACAAAGCTTGATTCTTTAATTGGAGATAACGAAGTCCATATACCCGGCTATGAAATAGTAAGGAAAGATAGGAGAACAAATGGGAGACATGGGGGTGGTGTTTGTTTCTATGTAAGATGCAACCTTAATTACAAAATTTGCGATGATTTAAGCTCTGACGATTTAGAATATTTAACAGTTGAAATAACTAAGCCTCGGTCTAAATCTCTTTTAATTAGCACTTGGTATCGACCTCCAGATCTGCCAACGTATTACTTTGATTATTTTGAGAAAATAATACAGAAGGTAGATTTGACGAATCATGACTACTTTCTATTAGGTGACATAAATGTGGACCTTATGCCGGGAGCAACATCAGCCAATGCTAATAAATTAAATGATATATTTGAAATTTTTGGCCTCACACAACTAATTAAAGAACCCACTAGAACTACACCATATTCCTCAACGCTAATTGATCTTTGCGTTACAAATGCCCCAACAAAGATCATAAACTCAGGTATAATTGATCTTTCCATAAGTGATCATGTTTTAGTTTATATGACACATAAGGTTCATTATAAGAAAGCGGAAGCGCGATTAGTTGAAATAAGGAGTATGAAAAATTTTCATAGAGGAAACTTTATAGGAGATTTAAAACAACAGCAATGGTTAGAATTAAATTTGTGCAATGAACCTAATGAAATGTGGGTAAGATGGAAAGTGGATGTTACTTAATTGCATTGATAAACATGCTCCACTCAGATAAAAAAGAATTGGGAAAAAGAAATCCCCTTGGATAACTAATCAATTAAAACAAAAAATGCGCCAGAGAGATTTTTTGAAAAAGAAAGCAAAAATGACTGGAGACACATTGATTTGGCAACAATATAAATCATTAAGGAACTCTACGAATAATGAAATTAAAAAAGTGAAAAGTCAATACTTTACTGATAACCTTGAGACCAACCAGAACAATCCAAAGTCAACTTGGAAACTTATTAATGAATTAAGCTCTCGTAATAATTCTAGTCATAAGACCATATCTAATATTACAATTGGCGAAGAAACAATAAATGCGCCTAAGGACATAGCCGAAATGTTTAATTCTCACTTTGCAAAAGTAGGTGAGAATTTAGCATCTGATATACCACCATCTGCTGTGGAACCGGAGGTTTATATTGAGCCAACTGAAACCACATTCTCATTGACCCCCCACAATAAATACAGTTTGTAGTAAATTAAGAACGATTAACGAAAAGAAAGCATCAGGTCTGGATAAAATACCCTGCAAACTTTTAAAACTTGCA